CATGGGCCAGGCACTGCTGCCTGTCTGGGAGCTGCTGCCCATGGTGTGGGAGGGGGAAGCTGGCGAGAAGCAGAGGGGAAGGGGCCGTGAGCCAGCACAGCTGCTATGGGATGGGGGCAGGGAGGTTCATCCCCTGGGGGCCCAGTTCCAAGCCTGGCTTCCCTGCCACCCCCCAGCTCCTCACCATTGCGCTCTCGCAGCAGAGGAGACACGGGGCATTGAGGAGGAGCCGACCCACCTCCCCTTGGTCGTCTGCATTGACAAGCTCACCAAGGTCTACAAGACAGACAAGAAGCTGGCACTGAACAAGCTGAGCCTCAACCTCTATGAAAACCAGGTGGTGTCCTTCCTGGGGCACAATGGTGGTGCCATGCCCAGAGGGCAGTGGTGTGGATGGGGGGGTGGCACGAAGTGGGGAAAGGCAGCAGGCACATGGCCTGGCACTGGCATTGCTCTGGCTGTGGCCCAGCAGATGCTCCCGGAGGCGGTGGCTGGGATTGGGACCAGACAAAGGAATATGAGGTCCCTCACATTGTTGCCTTTCTCCATCCCTCCAGGTCCATCCTCACCGGCTTGTTCCCCCCGACCTCGGGCTCCGCTACCATCTACGGCCATGATATTCGGACAGAGATGGACGAGATCCGGAAGAACCTGGGCATGTGTCCCCAGCACAACGTGCTCTTTGACAGGCTGACAGTGGAGGAGCACCTCTGGTTCTACTCGCAGCTCAAGAGCATGGCAGAGGAGGAGATCCGCAAGGAGATGGACAAGTAGGCACCTCTCAGCTGCTTTTGCCCCATCCGTGCTTCTTGCCTGACTGGGTCCCCTTCCCGCTGGCTGTGCTGTGGAGCATAGATGTCCCCCAGAGCATAGATGTCCCCCAGAGGAGCTCCACCAGGTGTTTTCCAAAACTCAGGGTATCAGGTTGTGGAAGCCAGCAGAAGATGCTTCTGCAGCCTGGCTGTGGCTGGGCTGTCCCGGCAGCTGAGAGACATAGGTACCACGTGGGGAAGAGGCATCACATGCTCCCCACAGGCACTGGGTGCCAGTATGGCCCCCCCAGCATCCCTGGTGCTTCTCCCCTGTCACCAGGATGATTGAAGACCTGGAGCTCTCCAACAAACGCCACTCCCTGGTGCAGACCCTTTCAGGGGGCATGAAGAGGAAGCTGTCAGTGGCCATTGCATTCGTGGGTGGGTCACGGGCCGTGATCTTGGATGAGCCCACGGCTGGCGTGGACCCGTATGCACGTAGGGCCATCTGGGACCTGATCCTTAAGTACAAGCCAGGTGAGTGGAGGTGGGCAGAGTCCCGCATTGCTCCTCTGGCTGCGTTGGCCCTTGCCTCTCTGATGAGGTGCTGTACCACCATCAGGGAGGACCATCCTGCTCTCCACGCACCACATGGATGAAGCCGACCTACTGGGTGACCGCATCGCCATCATCTCCCATGGCAAGCTCAAGTGCTGTGGCTCTCCACTCTTCCTCAAGAGCACCTACGGCGATGGCTACAAGCTGACGGTGGTGAAGAAGCAGTCGGATACCAGGAACGGCACAGGTCTGGGGGGCAGCGGGATCCCATGTTTAGAGGATAGAGGGGACCAGCCCTTCTTGAGCCCAGGAAAGGAATGAGAGGTCAACACTTGGTGCTCCTACCCCAAGTCTCCTTAGGCCACGTGGAAGGCAGAGGGGGCCAGGGCAGGGGTGTACAAGGTGGCATTGCTCAGCCTTGATTTCTCCCATCTGGGTCCTGGGTTAGATCCTGTGTGGTGGCATTTGTCTCCAGGCATTCGTTCTGTCCAGCCTGTGGGCTGCCTACTGAGACGGCCAGCATGGGCTGCGGTGCAGAGCACCGTCCCCAGGCCAGGCAGGGTGGCTGGGAAGCCTCTGTCACCCTGCAACAGAGCCTGGAGCAGCCCCCGTGGTGCTGGGGTGTTGGGTGGGCAAGGTAGGTCCTGGTGGGAGGCCGAGTGAGAAGTGACTGACCAGTGCTGCCCCTTTGCCACAGAGCCAGGCCAGCCACACAGCCCCCCTGCCCACTCCTCCGTCAGCCCCTGCTCTGAGCCTCGCGTCTCACAGTTCATCAAGAAATACGTGGCCTCCTGCCTCCTCATCTCTGACACCAACACTGAGCTCTCCTACATCCTGCCCAGCGAGGCCGTCAAGAAGGGCTGCTTCGAGAGGCTCTTCCAGGTACTATCGGGGGCCGGTGGGGTGGACAGGCCAGTGGTCACAGGGGGCAGCAGTGCTGTGGGCTCCTCCTGCACTCCCCACACAGTGCTTTGCCTCTGCAGCACTTGGAGCAGAGCCTGGAAGAGCTGGACCTCACCAGTTTCGGGCTAATGGACACCACACTGGAGGAGGTTTTCCTGAAGGTGTCCGAGGAGGACCAGTCTCTGGAGAACAGCGACGTGGGTATGGGCAGCGGGGGGGCACACGGTGCTGCTGGGGCTGGTGAAGGGCTGTGTGCCTTCGCGTGGGCTTGGAGGCTCCTCTTCCCTTTCATGTGGCCGCAGGAGTCTCCTTTCCCAAGGGGAAGAGTGGTCTCCAGCAGAGCCCATCCCAGCCAAGGGCAGCTGGCCTCTGCTCCGCTCCAGTTTGCCGAGTAGATCCATCCCCGCTCCATGCCATACCACAGTGAAGGGTGGTATGGCCGGTGGCAACCCCCCTTCTCCTTCCAGACATGAAGGAGTCCAAGAAGGATGCCCTGCGGCCACCCGCCCCTGAGGTGGGCCCAAAGCCCGAGGCCAACGGGGAGCCCCTGGCAGAAGCAGCTGTGCCTGAGAAGCCCGAGGTGGAGCTCAGCAACCTGGTGACCTGCTCCAAGCTGGCGCAGTCGCAGGCATCCCTGCGCTCGGCCTCCTCGGTGGGCTCCGTGCGGGGTGATGAAGGTGGGGCTTATTCCGAATTCTTTGGGGATTACGCGCCCCTGTTCGATAACCGGCAGGACCCTGATAACATCAGTCTGCAAGGTTTGTGCTGCCGGTGCCCGGTCAGCGGCAGGGGCCAGGGGAGGTGCTCAGCTGGGACGTGGAGGGTGAGGGTGGCCAGGGCAGTGGCCGTGCCCATCCCTGCACCTGGGCAGGGCAGAGCTGGCCCTGGCTGGGGCAGGCGGGTGTGCCGGGGATGGGGGCCGTGTCTGCTGAGGCGAGACCTTGTGGGGTGTCCAATGAGGCATCCACCGATGCCATGCCCAGAGAACTACAACCTGGGTGGGAGGGCTGGGAACGGCTGTTTCCACCAGTTTGCACCCCCAAACTGGTAGCGTGTGGATGGGGGTCCCATGCTGAGCTGCGGAGCCCACAGGTGCAGCTGGCATTAGCGCTGCCCTTTGCCTCCCTCGGACCCCGCGGTGCCATCCTGCAGACTCGCCCCACTAACGCGCTTGCTTCTGCTAGCACCTGGCGGGTTGCTTCCTCTTGGGCCTGGGGCATGGAGAAGTGTTCCAGCTGGTGGCTTTGCCCTCCGTACCCTAACCCGGGCTCAGGGCTCTCCCTGCCCGGATGCTGGGATTTGCCAGAGGGCAGAGGATGCAGGCAGGCACCCTGAGGCTGCCGTTTTATTCACAAGTTCTTTTCTGGGTTATCCCAGCAGCTCTTGCTGCGATTAATTCAGGGATGTGCTGCCCTGCCTCCCCGGCCGGGCCTGCTCTGAGTGGTGTGGTCTGGGTTGCAGGAGGCAGAGCAGAGACAGTGCCACGGCATAGCTCCCTGAGCCCCAGCCCCACGCCTGCTGCCTTGCTGGGTCCCCCCACCCATGTCCACCCCTTCTTGACCGTGCTGACCCCTCGCTAGCTGGGAGAGCTGATGGGGAAATGGAGGGGTTCTGCCAAAAAGCACCAAGTTAGGTGGCTTTTTAAAACTATTGCCTATATTTCCCATTTTGGGCCAAGAGGAACCTGCCAGCCAGCTGCCTTGCTTCACACCGCAGTGCTGCTGCGGCTCGGTGGCCATCAGGGTTGGGTGCTGCCCTGTCCCCTGGGGTGGCTGCGCCCGGCTCGGTGCCCGGCTCAGCTCCCTGGAGGCCAGGGTGGGTGTGGGAGCAGCCCTGCTGGGGGGCTGACATCCTTCTCCCCCCCCCAGAGCAAGAGGCGGAAGCGGAGGACCACGATCTGGCTGGGCAGGGGAGCTTCAAGCTGGAGGGCTCGTGGCTGAAGCTGAGGCAGTTCCACGGGCTGATTGTCAAGCGCTTCCACTGCGCCAAGCGCAACACCAAGGCCCTCTTCTCGCAGATCCTTCTGCCTGCCTTCTTCGTCTGCGTGGCCATGACAGTGGCACTCTCTGTGCCTGAAATAGGTGCCTGCAAGCCACCCACCTACACACTGGGGGCTGCCGGTGGCCCCTTCTGTGCACTGCAGCGTGGCCAGCGGGGACACTGGCTGGGGCGGGGGTGAGGACCAGGCTTGCAGGTGCTGGGCCTGTGTGCAGCGATGCTGCGAGTGCAAGCGCATTCCTGTCCTTGTCCCTGCAGGTGACCTGCCGCCCCTCATCCTCTCACCGTCGCAATACCACAACTACACCCAGCCCAAGGGCAACTTCATTCCTTATGCCAATGAGGAGCGGCGTGAGTACCGGTGAGAGCTGCCGTTCGCTGGTGACCAGCGTCTTTTGCCCCGTCCCCATCCCTGTCCCCATCCCTGGGACTGTGGGGGCAGGGGCAGCAGGGAGGGCAGCCCGCAGCGGGGCTGGTGCCAGGGCTGGCTTGGGCTTGGCACGGAACCTGGCTGATGCCACGGCCCCTTGAGGAAAGAGGCTCCCTCCTCCCCAGGGTGCCTGGGAGAGGTGCCAGCCCCGATGCTGGCTGCGATTGGCAGCTTGACTCATGCCAAGCCTGGGCTCTGTGTGCTGCCACCGTGCCCATTTAGTCTTGATATGTGCCAAGGCCTCGGGGAGGTCCCAGCAGAAGGCTGGCCAAGGTAGTGAGAGCCACATCTCCAGCTCCTTGTCCCTGCTCACCCACTCCTCTCCCTGCAGCATCAGGCTGTCTCCCGACGCGAGCCCCCAGCAGCTGGTGAACACCTTCCACCTGCCCTCTGGCGTGGGGGCCACCTGCGTGCTCAAGACAGCCTTCAACAACACGCTGGACCAGCCCATGCAGACCCTCAACCTCAACAGCAACGAGTCCAAGATGCTGGCAGCCAAGTACTTTGATGCCATGTGCATTGACTCCTTCACCCAGGGCCTGCCGCTCTCCAACTTCGTGCCACCACCTCCATCCCCGGCCCCCTCTGACTACCCTGTCTCAGTGGATGAGGACCTGCTCCACGCCTGGAACTCCACGACCTTCTCCTCCACTGTCAAAGGTATCGCCTGTCCTTGGTGCCTGAGTCTGTCCGGGCCTGGGATTCATCTCCAGCTGGGAGGTGATCTCACTCGCCCACAGAAGCAGCTCCAGGGACCCCTGCAAACACCTGTCAGTTTGACCTGGCCCCAGCAGGGCATTGCATCGCTGGGCTGAACTTACGGCTCAGGGCCGGTCCTGTCCCTGGAGCACTGCTCCCCATTCAGCCCCAGCAGGGCTGGTGGAGCTCCCTGGGATGGTGACACCATCGAGAGCCCTGTGGCCAGCTTTGTGTCACTCTCACTGGTCCATGGTCCCCAGCCATTGCCTTCTCCAGCCACACTTCACACCCTCGCTGAACTGCTTCTGCCCAGCGTTTTTTCCCATATCCATCTCTTGGTCCCTCTCGGTCACCAGGACACAATAGCCCCCTCACAGACCAGGCTGTGGGGCTGTGGGGTAGAGCGCTCCCTCCCTGCCTGGCCAGGACCCCTCAGCTCAGCCCCCACATTGTCCCAGGCAGACGGGTCAAGCAGGAGCCTGGCTGTGAGCTGCCCTCTCTGCTCCTCAGAGACCATGACCTCAGCCCCTGCCCTGCCCCGCATCGTCCATGAGCCCATCAAGTGCACATGCTCCATGCAGGGGACTGGCTTCTCCTGCCCCAGCGGTGTGGGGGGCCACCCCCCACAGATGAAGGTGGTGACGGGGGACATCCTGGCAGACATCACAGGGCGCAATGTCTCCGAGTATCTGCTCTACACCTCAGACCGCTTCCGGCTGCACAGGCAAGAGGGAAGGCTGGGAGGGTCTGCCCTGTGCTGTGGCGCCAGGGTGGGGGACCAGGGACTCAGGAACACCAGTCTGGGGTGCTGCTGGGAGCCAGGAGCGTGCTGGAGCATGGCCCCACTCCTGGAGGCAGAGGACAGTGGTCACAGCTTCTCGACGGTGCCTTGTCCCACAGGTATGGGGCACTCACCTTCGGCAACGTCCAGAAATCCATCCCAGCCTCTTTTGGGGTCAGGGCTCCTGCCATGGTGCGCAAGATCGCTGTCCGGAGAACGGCACAGGTGGGACCACGCTGTACCCTGCGGCAGCTGGGAGATGGGTGGGCAGCAGCAGCTGTGGGACGGGCAGGGAGGGGAAGGGGGCAGCTCTGCCTTCATGGCTGGGACCCCTCACCCATGGCTCTGTGGCAGTGCTCTCCACTGAGGAATCTGGTGGGGCTCTCACCCCAAGGGGGGCTTAGCAGCTCCCACCCACGCGGGTCTGGCTCAGCATGGTCAGCAGTGGCCTGTTCTCCCCACAGCTGTGAGCACGGAAGCCTGCCCTGTGGCT